ACTCTCTTCCTTCCCCATGTCCCTGTAAGCCTTGTTCATTTTTTCTTATAAAAGCTCACCCAGCCCACTGTTTTCATAAAAACCTTTACTACTTAATCTTACTGGTTTTACTCTTTAACACCTTGGCTGCATTAATCTTGCACTTACGATGGTAAGGTTCCCTGAAGTCAGACGGATGGGACAGACATTTAGATGTTCTCCCTAAAGTCAGATGAAACCCAGCTGATCACCAGTGCTCTCCCTTAAAAATTCTTAGGGAGAACCCCCTTCCATCCATTTCCACTTTCTTCCTCCTCTACTGTTCCAAAGACTGAGGCCTTTGCACCAAAATACTCAGGAGTTCCCTGTGTAGGCATCTGCTCGTGTGCTCCAACCTGACTTTGTGCCTAGAGTGTGAGACACACCCCTGGAGAGCACAAGTTTTCCCTCTTCTTCCCGTTAGAAACTTACTGACATTAAGCACTGAATGTAATTATTTCAGGAGTCCCAATATGTGGGGGTGTGCTACTGGATAAGAATATTCTCCATCTTTCTTATTGTATCATAACAAGTTAAATAATGATTCCCACTTATGCATATGTTGCTCTTAAAAGAAAAACAACTGCTTTCTGTGTTATCCAGATGCAAATAGTTAAGCTTTCTTTTCTTTTCTTTTCTTCTTCTTAGAGTCCTTAAATGCCCTGGAAGACCAAGATTTAGACACCCTCATGGCAGATTTGGTAGCAGATATAAGTGAAGCTGAGCAGAGAACCATCCAGGCTCAGAAAGAGTCCTCCCAGAATCAGCACCACTCAGCGCTTCAGGAGGCATCAGATGGCTGGGTTGCAGCGTCACTTGGTTATGGAGCAAGTGCTGCTGCAGCTGGTGTTGGCCACTATGAAGATGCTTTACCACCTCCACCAGCAGAACCCATGTTAGACCTTCCACCACCTCCACCACCTCCACCACCTCCTGAACCTCTCTCTAAAGTAAGCATTGTAACGAGTCTTTCCCTGCACTCAAAAACATTTCAAGAACCATTGGTGTTAGAAAAGATGATTCTACTTTCAAAGTGTTCTGTAACCAGAACACTTCATTTCCTAATCATAATAAATAAATACATGAATGAATAAATAAATAAGCCCTAACAGTTCTATTCTCAGGATTGTAAGTTATCAAAGGAAGTTGAGCTTATAAGACTATTTCACACTCTTTGCTATTATTGTTCATGTGTGTTATCAGTGGGGTGTTTTGTTCGTTTGTTTGTTTTGCTTTGCTTTGGAGGATTTGTGATTTACAAATCACAAATTTACAAATCACAAAGTTAAGTTTTGACTTTTGTATTAAGAAATTGGACGTTAAGGACTTTTTCAAGTTTCTAATAAAAACTATGAATGTTCCCCTAAATAGACACCATGATCCAAGAGGATGTGTATGACTTTATGAAGTGCTCAACTCCCTTAGGCTGAATACATTACTGGATTCTGTAGGTTGGTCCCTGTATCAGTTCCTTTTCTGTTGCTGTGATAAACCAAAACAACTTAAGAGTGGAAGCGTTTACCTTAATGTAAGGAACAGTTCGTCCTATCAGGGGAGAGAGAGCAGCAGGCCGCCAGAGCAGGAAGCTAACTGATCATATTTCTATTCGCAGGGTAGAAGCAAAGAGCAAACTAGAAGTGGAGTGAGGCGGTAAACTCTCAAAGCCCAGCCACACAGATATATTTCCTCCAGCAAGGTTCCACATCCTAATAGTTCCATTTCTCCACACAGCACCACCATCTAGGGACCCAGAGTTCAAGTACATGAGTTTATGGGGATATTGATCATTCAAACTAACCCAGTCCCCTGTTTTGTGAGCTGATCACAGAATAGCATACTCTAATAAGTGTATGATGCACTTGTTGAGGTCATCATTTCATCTTCTAGGATGAAATTCCCAGGGCTATAAACAATAGTTTCTTTCTGTACCTTTTAGTTAAATATTTAATCACAAGAATTTGTTTATATTCTGGAAACGGGGGATGTAAAATTTGATGATTTTGTTACTATAAATTAACTAGACACTAACACTAACAAGAATTTCCCACTGATATTATTTATTAGACCTTACTGACTGTCTTCTTCTTTACAGGAAGAAGAAGAAGCCCAAGCAAAGGCTAATAAAATTAAATTAGCACTGGAAAAACTGAAGGAAGCCAAGGTCAAGAAGGTAAACCATCAATCACTTTTGCATAGGGGGCATTAAATTAATGATATCATGTTATAGTTACTGATAAACAGTAAAATAAAATCCTCACCTGTCTCTGGGGAGCTCAGTAGCAGGTCCCTGCTTACCATACTCAAGACCCTGGTTTTAACAGTATCATTGAAAGGAAACTAAAAGTGGCACTTTCCAATAATTATCATCTTTAAAGAATTCTCTGGACGCAGTGAAATGGCATAATTTTTCTCTGTATAATATCATTTAGCTAGTTTATGATTTCTGGGTAGGGAACCTGCATCCAACCGTTTCTTGTAAAGGCTTTCTATTGGGTAGTATGATGGCAAAGAGCTCCCCTTGGTGAGATGGAGCAAGAATGACTAACAAGGCAGGCATTTCCTTAGCTTGTACGTGACTTTTTATTGGTTTACACATATATTTTCCCATGAACTAGGATAGTGGGAGTACAAATTTCCTTTAAAAGGAAAGTCTTTAGTTTTGCTACCACCTAGGCAAGGGCTTTCTCGGTTCCATTTTGAGAATCTAAAATCTGTCCATCTTGGACTCCCTTCCCTGAGGGATGCTCTCTGGGGCTTTCCATAGGTGTCTGCTTGTAGCAGGTGGCACGCACTCTGGGCACACTTTAACTGGGTCAGAGCTCAGCATCCCTTGGCCCCACATTTCCACAATTTCTTTTGTGAATTTATGTCCCTTGAGCAGCCTCTAGACCTGATGTCTGCCTGGCTGTCTCCCCAGGAATCACATATCGGCTTTGTTGTTAATCTACTCATTAATTTGTGTAAATTTTACATGACCTGCTCCTAACCCTACTATTTTAATTAATCTGTAATTTTTTTAACATTTTTGCAGAGCATAGGGTTTATTTGTTTTGTTTTTTAGGAGCATATGTATTGTGTTATACTAGAAAAACCTGTATCTAACCTGATTAGGAGACTACACCCACTATTAAAATGTTAGTAATAGTTAGTTAGTGATGGGGGATGCTCTTCCCTATATATGTTTCTCTTATTGGTTGATGAATAAAACACTGTTTAGCCAATAGAGGCATAAAGATAGGCAGGACTAGGAGACAAGGAGAATTCTGGGAAAGATAGGCAGAGAAGAGACCTCGAGGAGACGCCATGTAACCAAGGAAGGAGTAACAAGTCTGGACCCTTCTCTGGTAAGATAAGACCATGTGGAAATACTTAGATTAATAGAAATGGGTTAATAATTAAGAGAGAGCT